GTTCGCTGTTACGATTGATGGAACTAGTGGCCACTAAACTTATGAATCCAAACCTGACTGAAGCACGAAATCTTGACAAAAAAGCAAATCCAGGTACTGCTGTCGTCTGAGTCACAGCAGAGGAAGATGCCAAGGGCTTCTATTTGTTGGCACTCAGAGATTTTTGGCTAAGGAGGGGACTGTCCTCTGTGTGGTGTGGTGGGGGACCTAAGGCTCCTGGCCTGCTTCTTGCAATGTAATCAAGGTTACTTTGTTAGTTTTCAAGTTTTCACATCCATAGCCACTTATCAGAAGAACTGCTCTCAGCACAAGCACTTTCGAGATGCTGTTGACTATATAAATGGATGTGAGTCAAAAAAAGGACAGTGGGGCAAAGGGATCAAATGAAATCGGGCATTTTTACCAGCAGCTGAGGCAGAGGAGCAGTGATATTGAAAGAACAGCTGGAGAAAGATAATTGTGGCCTTACTGCTAATCCTTTTGCCTCTGAGCATACAAATATGAGTGAATAAGTTAGCATAGCCATTATGTAATATTATGTACCCTTTTAACAATTACATACCTAAATTACTAACATTAGATTGACTAAATGAGTACATTTAGTTTTTGATTACACAAAGGACAAAGAGACTGCTTTTAATTATGTATGGTTTTGTTATGAAAATAAGACTAATTATTCTTTTATTTATTTAACTACAATACTGTCCATAAAAGATGCTAGTTATTATATGATTATGTTAACTTTCCTATCAAGACCATGTTTTTAATATTGATCAGGAGTTGCATTCGGTTGACTCAAGCAAGCACTGTGTGCTTTGAAATGAGATATGTTTGCTTCTAGAATATATTGCATACTAAACAAAGCTCAACTCCTCATGAGAAATAGAATTCTTAGTTTCTAAATCAAGTATTAGATGATTCTGTTGACAGATAATAATTGTACATTTTCGTGGGATGCTCTGAGTTTAGATGCACTTTTATGTAATATAACTTTGAATTACTATGGTTTGATTATCCATCTTTTCAAACATCTCAAATCTATTTTTAGCTCTTTTGACTTACATAATTTAATGCACCTGCCCTTTTGTATAACAGAGTACTGGCAATCACTCTTCTCATCTGACTGAGATGTAACCTCCACAGAAAACAGTGGAAAGGGTTTTGCTTTTTAAAACAGTTTACTCCATTGGATGAATGTTCATACTCTGACATCGGGAATCCTCTGAAATGTCTAAAATTTCACGAGGGGGAGTGGGAGCTTGCTGATGTCGATATTGTTCTTTGTCTAGGGCAAAGGCACACAGCTTTTGGCAGATCCTTGAAGTGACTATGATTAAGGACACCGCCTAGGATAATGATAGCTTCACAGAAGGAGCTTTTTCTATAGATACAGAAGATTGGTCATATTTCTGAGTGTTTTCTATTCCCATAGTCCTAAAAATTCAAATGTTTGACAAAACGAAATGGATCATTCTATTAAAGTTTCAGAAAAACATATTGTAACAGTTTGTGAGGACTCTAGCATTTTATAATACATAAAACCTGTGGCTTGTTTTCATGTGACATTAGTGACCTAGATATGTGGTTTCATTTGACTTTATATCTTAAGTCTCAGAATTTGTTTGATTTTACTTTGTTATTTTTCAAGTTTTCACATCCATAGCCACTTATCAGTGTCTAGAATTAAGTAATTAAATTATGAGGTGATTATAACTTTAGGATTTATAAAAAGGTGATTTACAACTTCTTTCCTCTCTCCCTCTTTCCTTATTCCTTCTCTTTCCTCTTTCCCACCTTCCTTCTTCCTTTTCTTTTTCTTCCCTTCTTTCCTACCTCTTTCCATTCCAATCTCCTTCCTTCCTTCCTTCCTTCCTTCCTTCCTTCCTTTCTTCCTTTCTTTCTTTTTTTCCTTCCTTCCTTTTCTTCTTTTTACCTTTTTAGTACACTAAAGATTAGTATGTAGCGTAGAGAATGTTGTGTAACATTTAAAATAATAGCAACAATGGCCATAATTAATACACCTTGAATACCCCAAGTTTTAAATTTATTAGTTGTAATTTGTTTCTCTAAAGTGTAGAAAAAAATAAAGGCTCCGACCTAATGAAACAGGAAAAAGAAATAACTATCCTCATTAAACTAACATCTGATCTCCTGTAGTTCCAACTTTCATTTTGAAACATTAATAACTCGTCATTTATGGAAATACTTTGAATAGCATAAGGCCTTGATTGACTGCAGGGTTGTAACTCAGTCACCAGCCTCTTCTGACATCACATCCCTAGGGGTGTGGCTGAGGCTTTAGGAATGGCAGCAAAGTCCCAAGCCTGAATTACAGCTTTGTTATTCAATCCAAGCCAGGCTTTGTTATTTATAGTACATAGAAACAGAGTTTGAACTTTCCAAAAGAGGAAAACAATAAATCAAGCTAACAAGATGACCGGCTCTAATATTAAAATATAAAGCTCTATGATGTAGAGGGAGGAAAATTAATGAGGATGTGACGTGAGGTTATTAAAGGTGTGATGGGCAGGAGACGGGGTGGATTATGGGCAAATGAAATGAAGTATTTCACTAGAAGGCAGTCGAGTGCTATGGAAGTTATTAAATGACCAGTCAACAGAGCCAGTCTCGTTACTGTAGTGACCTAATACAAATGGACTTCCTTTGAACACCCTTCCACAGAAAGCTCTTCTCTTGCTATGTGGCATACAGTAAGAATAGGATGCAAATACTGTTGAGTTGTTTCATCATCACTGGTGTTGCTCACAGCATTTCCCACCTGAGGTGGGTAGCCATGATGCTGGGGGAAGTCTGAAAAACCAAGATGAGCAGAGATGATTTGGGGGTGGCCACCAAATCCTAAATTTGTCATTCAAAGGTTATAATTAATATGGGTGTGAGGAAGACTGCGTTCTTCATTGATGTAGTGCAGGAATTAAGATGTGGACCAGTGACCATAGAGGATGTTGGCTTCTGTCACTGGTAACAGAGTTAGCACTAAAACCAATTTCTCAGCGTACAGCCTTTAACCTCCCTGTGTTGATTCTGAAATCCACCTACGTACTCACTCTTCCTCTCTCCCTCATCGTTCTGTCAAAATTTTAAGCCTCATTTCCTGTCTAGCAGTTAATAAAAGAGAAGTGCTGCCCCAACAGCCTTCCCCAGGCCACCCTCCCATTCCTTTAGATTTATAACCCTTTGTCTTAGGGTTAGTTTTCTCACCTTTGTTTAACGTTTATCAGCTTGTTAGACGAGGGAAATTGAAGTGTTCAGAAGGCTACAGTAGATACGACATATAATGGCTGAGAAATCACTTGTTAAAGTTCAGAGACCTGTGACAATGTCAGAAGAACTACTAGGAAATGAGGAAAGGTAAGCTTTTGAGAAAACAACTAAATATAGTCTGTACATTATATCAGGGCGTGCAAACCTCACTAGGATATGGGTGGAGCCTGGGTCCTGTTGCTCCAGTGACTGTCCTTAAATATACGAAAGACCAGTTGCTTTCCTAAGTTTTACCTCAGGGATGAATTCAAGCAAAGAGTCAGACATATAGTATGGTTGACTATGGAAATTTATATCAAAGTTAGTACCCTTGAAATTTGGTCTTAACATAAACAATTTAGTCTTCAAAAGCTAAGTCTTCAAAAACCTATTTGTAGGTCTTAGTTTGCTAATATTGTCTGATAGCCAATGTGTAATGAAGCATTTTTAAAAATGTATTTTGTTGCCACGAAGTATTTTATGTGTTTAGTTTCCTTGAGGGGAAAAAGCTGATCCTCCATAAGCCACAGTTAGCGTCTACAACAATTTGCCAAGCGGCTGCCATAAAAATAAAAACTGCATGGCTTAAACTAGAAATTTATTTTCTCATAGGTCTTGGGGCCAGGGGTTCAAGAACAAAGTGTTGCAGACTTGCTTTCTCCTGATGCTACTCTCCTTGGTTTGCAGCTGCCTGTCACTTCACTTGGTCTTTATACACACGAGCCCTTGCCTCGTCTTTTTAGAACACTAGTCAGAATGAATCAGGAACCTCCTTAAGGGTTTCATGTTATTTAAAAGATCCCTTTCTAAGTTGTCTCTGAGGTCATGGGAATTAAAACGACAACAAATATGTTCAAGGTATTTCTGCCATGACAGTATCAAAGTCTCTGTATCTTGAACAGGAAGAAATTAGGACCCAGAGAGAAATTACCTACAGTTGCACACATAATTAGCAATATAACTGCTATTTATATTTGAGCTCAGATTTAGTAGTAAGTGTATACCTGGTTAATATTTAAACAAAACCATAAAATTGTAGTAAAGAGGAATGTGAAGTAGCAATAGTAGCCTTTAATTCACATTTATTGAATGATCAACAGCTTCTGCTGATTAGAGATAAGGACTTACTATAGTTTTGTACCTTTAAAAATGTGTGGAGATGATACATGGATAGAGAAAAAGAACAGAAGAACCAAAGGGAGGAAAAACCGGCCACATTTTGTGTGAAGAATGATCTTACAAGCAGTACATTGTTTATTTCTAAGAAGTCCTTTCTATCTGTTAGTTTACACACACCCGTGCAGGCATGCACACACACACACATCAGTAAGGGTAGGACTTCCCTGATAGCTTTGATTGGGAGAGCTGAGAGCTACTGGCATCCAGCTATGGGGAAAGCAGAGTGGGTTCAAAAGATTCCTGTGAATGAATTCTACTTCTGCACAGCTCTCCCAGTCTCCAAAATGTAGCTATTGGAGTTGCTCAATGGAGGCAGAAGCCAAGACCTTGACACCTGATTAAAACACTAGAACATGGTGGTCAATGGTAAATGAATAAAAGTGATCTGTGAATAAACAACTCACTAAGCACTGAGTTAAACTGCAATCTGAAATGGCCCCATCATAGAAACCTTTTGCTGTATTCAAGGCAAATACGAAATCTAATCACTCTTTTGCAGTAGCAAAACCAAACCCTTCAGTTAGTAAGTATACTGTGCATTTAAAATGACTATTACATCTGCCCCTAGCAGCACTGTAGGTGTGCTGCTGTGTCACATGTGCATCAGTAGGTGGCAGAGAGGAGAGAGTCTATGCCTATGTTCAGTGTTCTGATCTACAACATCTGAATGATTAGTAGCCTAACACTCCCTGAACAAAGCAAGCCTGAGATGACCACTAGATTGGTGCCAGATAGGCCCAAAGTGGGCTCCCAAGATGGGGAGCAAGCCAGAGACTAGAAGAACCCAACCTGGGACCTTTGGCCTTGGGCACAAGTGAACTCAAGACAGATGACCCTTTAAACAGCCACTCAGCTGGGCTGGGTGAGGAGCAAGCCTGAGATGCCACCAGACTGGTGCCATGGAGCCCAGACTGGGAGCTCAGTCTGGTGCTATTTAGGCCTGGGCCAGGGAAGACCAGGACTAAGATGACTCCTGCTCTGTGTCATAACACACAAACAGGGCATAGCACTCCTGAGACCACTCCTGAGACAACCTAGACTCTCAGAGACTCCAGGCACTGCTAAGAGGAGCAAGTAAGTGGTGGAGAAATGGGAGAGAAAGAGAAACAGAAGGATTTGGGCATAATGAAGAGAGATAGAACTGGAGACTCCAGGGTAGTAAGGAACAGCTCCATGTGAGAAGCTAGTGATGCCACCTGGAACAATAGTAGGAGTCCTGGTCTGTGTTGCCACTGGGGACCATGTTTGGATCTGTGGCAGCAGGAGTCTGTTACAACCAAAGGCCAAGCAGACGTTCTTGGTTTGGGCTGCTGCCCAGGGATACGCTGATGTCTGAGCTTTGTGTAAACCTGAACCCACCCCTTACCTGGGCTTTGTGGGAGAGCTAGCCCTGAGGGCTTGAGAACAGGAGAGGTGACCCCACCCATAGCCAGCTGCAGCTCTTGGGAGAGTAGATCTTGCACACCATAGGAGTTTTGGGTGAGCTAGCCCTAAGGATATAAGCATGGGAGAGCTGGTCCTACCATTTGTCTCCCCTACAGCGGCATGACTGAGGGAAAGATATCCTCTTCTCTCTTCCCACCTCACCACATGCAGCAGGTGGGAGAACTGGCCCTGGGCTCATGAGGGCAGGAGAGCTGGCCGGACCCTTCACCAGCTGCAGCACTTGGGAGAACGGGTGCTGTACCTCACCTAGGCAGCACAGTAGAGCTGACCCTAATGGATGGGATTTGGGTCAGTAGGTCTTGAAGGTGTCAGTATGGATAGATGGTCCCGCAACTTGTCTGTCATGTGGCAGTGTGGGCAAGGGAGAGGTGCCCTCCCTTACCCTCAACCCTTGCCATCTATGGCAGGCAGGAGAGCTGGCTCTGGGGTCATGAGAACAAGAGAGCTGGTCCTGCCCCTCATCTGCTGCAACACTCAGGAGAGCAGGCCCATACCACAGTGAGAGTTCTGGAAGTTTGGTTTCTTAAAAAACAAAACCAAACAAAAACACAGAAATAGTATAAGAATATGTTTTCATTTTAATACCAGGTGTAGGGATATGGGGCTGCTTTCAACTGTCTGAAGCAGCTGACTATGATTTGCCTCATGCTTTAGCAGAGGCATGGTTTTGCCAGCTGCAGACATTTTCTGTGATTGTATGATATTTGGACTTCTGGGAACATTTCAGAGGTTATATAAATTCTAGAGCCAATGGGCAGGGTTGGTGGACGTTGGTCATTCAGAGAGGTTGGTTGCAGTTTGTTAGTAGCTGTGACCAAAGAAGAAACTAAAGGAAAGAAATCAGACTTGGGCGGGGGGTGTTCTAATTCCTCTCTCTCTCTATCCTTGTTTCTCTCCTATCCAGTGACAGGAGGTAAAATTCAGAGGGATGAAGGGTGGGGAAAAGAAGTACCCACAAAGTAGGAAAGACTACCTACACTGCACCTTGCCTTGGCAGCATAGTAGAACTGGCCTTTGATGTGGGAGTTGTGGGTGAGCTGTCCCTGGGAAGGTGTGTGTGGGAGAGCCATGCTTGCCCCTTATCAACTGTGAAGTGGCATCTCAAGGGAGAGATTCCCTCCCCTCCCTTGTGACCTCGCCATCTACAGCAGCAAAAGAGCTGTCCCTGGGGTCAAGAGAGAGGGAGAATTGGTGATGTCCCTTACCAGCTGCAACACTTGGGAAAGTGGGGCCCTGCACCTTGTCTGGGCAGCAGGGTAAAAGATGGCCATGGTTTTGGGGGTGGCTGGTGAGCCAGCCCTGAAGGCATGAGACTGGGAGAGCTGGCAGGCTGACGAGTTCAGATACTCTCAAGCCCAGATCCAGGACTTTGAATTGGCCCGCCCAACATCTTCCCCGTCAATGAACTGCTGGAGCTCATGAAGAGGCTGGTTCTACCTACAGATCCAGAGCTACAGGATCTCCATGATGTAAGACAATAACAGGATATACAAGAGGAGTCCCAAGGCAGATCCAATATTGATAGAGTAGCTTATATCAGACCAATGAGACATTGAAATGAGCATTTGCAAGCAAAGAAATGTTGACAAAAATGTATACCATGGGACACACTGTGACACACTACAGCTTCTACAATGAGATCTTTCTCTGTTGGGGTGAAACTGCAAGGATAGAGGGCAGATAAAGAGGGAGGGAGAGATGAGTGTGATTGGGGTGTATGATATGAAATTCACAAAGAACCAATACAAAAAATTTAAAAATGACTATTACAGACTTAATTTTTAGTTTTCTTACACAGTAATAGAAACACTAGATGAGTTTAATAAGTTGGATTATTATTTGTCTAATTTTCTTAAATATATTTCTCTGTGAGTAGGATTTGCATGATTTTTGTTTTGTTTTAATATGGGTTCTAGTACATCAAAGCTAGGCACCTTACAAACCTATTTTCACATTCTGGGAGCCTTCTTAGAGGTCTAGGCTGGGTGCTATTCACTTGCTTCTTACGGTTCAGTCATTCTCTTTGATCTTTGGCATTATAGTTTATATATAAAAAGTTTCCTACAGGCTCAGCGCATCAGGGTTGCTAGCTCATGTTTTTTTAGGAAATGACTTGGTTTCTACCTAAGCAATGGATTAATTTCCTGCTGGATTTACAATGTGATAGCATTACTGGGAGGTGTGGCAAACAAGCTGAAGCCTACTTGGAGGCCCTTGGCCCAACCTGGAAAACAATTGTCTTGTTTTTAGCCACTCCACTTCCTGGCTGCCATGATATAAGCAGTCTCTCTGCTGTTCATCACTGTGAGAAAATCCTGACTAGTGCATCAGTTGCCTTCTCTCTCTGTGTCATGTATTTAGAGAAATACAATCTTACTTCTTCATTAGTGTTTAGAAACACTTAAAGATAGGATATTTCTTTAGAAGGATTATGAAATTCAAGGATATGAATGATAGAAATCAATGTGGCAGTGATGGTTATTATTATAGCAATCTCCCTGAACAGTTAGGACTTCTATAGATATGTTGGCCACCTCCTTCCTCAATTTTTCCAGATAGTTTTCTCTTTTCTCTTCCTTTTTCCAATTCTTCTTTCTTTCCTAGTCATTAGGCTATTATGAAACTCTGGGAGCAACTTTCCTTTCGTAGCTAAAATGGCAGCTATTGCACAGTAGTGTAACTGGGTTACTGAAGAGTAGACAGTCTCTATCAAGATAGCTGGAGAAGACAGTTCAGGCTTTAACCGCACTTATTCTGAAATCATGAAGACAAGCTGGATGCCTCTCAAGTACCTATAACCCAGCTCCAATAAAGAGTGGTCGTATTGTTGCCTGGGCTGCCAAATGATGCCCCAGCATGAACAGTGGAGAATTATAATGTATACACGTGTGAAATGAAACTGGAAAGAGATATCACGTCTACATGTTTATGCTGTTTAATGGCTGAAACAGTATTTGGGTGTGAGAGTAAAACTATCATAAGCTATTTTCACGTGAATCTGATACTATGTATGCAGTGCACTAGATCTTCCTTGAATGCTTAGCCTGGCTGTATATGAAGTTGGGAGTGAAAGGGTAGTATATACAAGTCGTTGGGTGGGAAACACTGGTTGTGAATATCAATTTTGTTGAGGGCTAAGGGACAGCTTTTCTGATTCCCCCTTGTATCTGAAAGTTGTCTGGAAAATGACTGCTCAAACTCCCTAAATTTCATTCTCCCAGGACCCAGGTGAAACACTGAAAACATCCCACATCCTGGAATTGCTGACTCTCAGAATACATTCTATGAAAGGCAAAAACATTCAGTCTTGTGGGAGGTGATGTAAAGAATTTTTTCACCTTCAATTATTTCTGTTCTTTGAACTTCTTTGTATCTTCCAGCTTCACACTAAATAATCTACTGTCTTGAGCAATCTCTGGTTCTTTGGCAGGGTTCTGGACTCTCCCACAAATTGCAAAAACCTCTAGCCTCAGGTCTAAGTTATATGACTTTTGTCTACTTTCAAAATATCAAGCCTAGTGCTCAGTAAATGTGATTTATTTGGTTGATGAAAGAAAAGACAGTGATTTGACAGAAGTGTGATGAGATGGAGTGAAATCAGAGAGGTTCCCAACGTTTAAGTTGTGATGTCCTGAGGTCTCTTTATATGGATAGAGGCTGCTCATGGTCTCAGATTCTTAGGGAGGACCCTGAAGATTGCTACAAATGCTGTTTCTACAGAAGTCATGATATGAGTTGACCATCCTTAATCAAAAATTCAAGATCCAAAATATACCCAAATTGAAATTCCCTATCTCATGTTCTCATGTGATGAGTGATCATAATCCAAGTGTAAATAAGCCAAAAATGCATGATACTACTTTCAGACTATTAATGCATTTAAAAAGGAATTTCATGCTTAGCCTTGGGTCCTATCTTCCAGGTGATCTCATTAAACATATATAAATATCCTATAACTGGAATAATTTCTAGTCCAGTGATTTGGGGTAAAGGCTATTTGACCTATTCTCTAGTGTTGATAAAATGACATTAAAATGTTCACAAGGCTGTGTCTTCTAGAATTTCTAAGTTTTCATAGGAATGAATTTTATCTACTGGAAATGAAGCGCTAAGCCATGGCCATTGTTGACTGACAGGCAGTAATAGATATGATCACCAACATGTGACATCTCTCACACAGAGATTCTGCAGAGATGGTTCTAAGATCTCTATTTCAGAGATGAAAACATTTGATCCTTACA